AATCGTGCGCGAAGGATTTCTTAGATCAAGCGCTGCGGAAGAATTTTCAGAGAAGCCAGTGTTCTGAACTTGATATCCAGCTCTATATAGATCTATTTTTGTTACCGTTTCCTTTCCCTTGCTTTATTATTGTTTTAACGTTTGTATTATTTTATTATCGAGAATTTGTTACTTGACTTAGAGAAGAACGAAAATGAAAGGAGCATAATTAGTATTCTACGCAATCGAGAACGCATATCTACTACTATCTACCTGAACAACAAAAATGCCTAGTCGAATAATGAATTAGTTCGTGTGTGATTACAGTTGATCCACCAACTTCTGCTAATCTCAATGATGTTGTTATTATTGATATAATTCATATTGATCGTTTGAGCGTAGCATTTAAGTATTTAAGATTTCAATGGAACTCATATTTACTTGAAAATGTGTATACAACATGCACGCATCAATATATACGCTCAAAATACTCCTGATGGCCAGAGACGATAATGTCACCACCAAATATGTTCAACCTCACAATTTCGGGAAGACACGGAGTTTTCAACTGTATGTGCACGAACGTATATTCATCGAAGAATTTGATAAAGGATAACATCCCAAATGTTGAGAGCCCCGTATCTAAATGGAGATGACAGTGATTCACGCCTTGAAATCAACTGATCTGCGGGTAGATGCAGTGGTCGTGTTCGAGGAGGCATAAGCAATAGAAAATTTCACGCTCTTGACAACTTCGTAATCATCACCCGAGTTCTCGTCACCGAAAATCTTCAACGCTCTGAAGAGGATATTATACTCCCCGGCGGGCGCGTAGCTACCGTCGCTCAGATTACCGTACCAGAACGAATGCCATTGGCCTCTGCCCTGTTCATACACAGGGAATGGGTCGATGGAACCAACGATTCTCTCACCGAGAACTTCGGTTGTCTTGGCTGTGCTGTTTGAGCCTGCGGGAATCAGGTCAACACGGAGGATGCGAGTACCGAACGCGTTGGAGGAGAATGGCACAGGGAAATCGTAATTCTTTATCTCCTCATCAGAGCTGTGTTGCGGTGGGAGAGTGAAAGCCCAATTATCGGGTATGGCCGAGACATTCAAGTAGCGTGAGACGTATGTCATGTTGTCTCTGGTGTCGAAGATGGTTGTATCTTTCAATTTCGCCGCCACGCCAAGGTAGGGGAGAGATAGAGATTCACTGGTGCTGTTCAGAGTAATGTATCCACCATAGACGGGAATGCGAGAGGCGGTTAGGTCAGTTGGTAGTGTAGCTGTGACCTCAACAGTTGCAGACTCTCCACCTTTGATCGTAACTGAATCGGAGCTAAGAGATATTTTGGCACTCGAAGATACGATCTCCGGGGGCGAGCCAGGGGAAAAAGGTGAAGGCACTGTGATTCCGTCGGAAGGAAGAGTATAGACAGTGCCTGTAGAAACGTAGTCAAGGTCGTAAGTGATGCTCTCTTTGCCGGTGTTCTTGATTTCAAAGCTGACAGATTTGGTAAAATACTCGGTGTCATTGAAGGATATACTAGAAATGTTCAAAATTCCGACTGCGTGCACTGCGTCGTAGACATTCAACAGGCCACCACCTTGCTGGGCAACAGGTGCAAGGTAAGAAAGCGTAGATTCACCATCATTGAAAGCCTTCACTTCGGCACTTGCGGAAAGTAGGTTGTTGATCGTAGCCGGATCCAACTTCCCACGGGCCTCAAGTAGCAGAGCAATAGAGCCTGCGACAAAAGGTGTAGCCATCGAGGTGCCTGTATCAATTTTGTAGCCTCCCATACTGAGCGGATAAGTAGACAGAATAGAACCACCGGGTGCAGCGATTTGGGGTTTGACTTCAGCTTCAAAGGTAGGACCCCAGCTCGAGAAATAGCTCAGATACCCACCGGTGGCATTGTTGGCTGTAGAAACCACGTAATAGTTTTCCTGTGATGGATTGATCATGTTAAGAGAAACTTCAGTACCAGCTGCAAGAAGCTTGGTCCATTGAGAAGCTACAGTAGAGTCCACCATACCGAAGGAGTCGATTCCGTAGCCAGTACCATTGCCAATACCGGCAACTCCTGCAGGTGTATCAGAATAGTACATAATGTACTTACTACCGGCAGCGGCCACCAGCTCGACAAGTCCCGCGCCGATGGTACAACCTCCCACCCAAGGCACAAGTGCAATTTTCCCCGGGATCTTTGGGATTGTGAAGTTATCCTGACATGTAATTGAAGTATCGTTGTTACCCTGAAGGATATCAAACACAGGATAAGTACCATTGGGAATATCTGCCGGGATGTATGGAATCCAGCCAAAGGGCTTTGACGTCGTGTTATCCGCGGACCAAGAGGCGTTTTTGAACAAGACTGGATTGACAGCATTATCGACGGACGCAACCGCGGTGACCCCGTGACCTGTAGCAGCAGCAGAGGCAACGAATACTCCGGTTTCGCCATCATTTCCGACAGCTAGTGTGCAAGGAACTCCAGCTTCGACGATTCTGGACACTGCAACAGCCCACGGCTCTTCACTCCACCCAGAGGAGGAGCCAACCGAAGCGGTGATAATGTCAGCACCCTCATCGTGAGCCATCATAAATGCCTGGATCAAGACGTCATCGGCAGTGCTGCCCGTGCAACCAAAAACACGATAGATGCCGAGGGTTGCATTAGGGCTAACTCCAGTAAAGCTGGGTGCAGCCGAGTTTGCAGCAATAATTCCGGCAACGTGGGTACCGTGGCCAACGCAGTCCATTGGGTCATCACCTGGAACAGGGGTGTTTGTTCCAGTATAGTCATCACCCACAAGATCTTTCCCAAACGCAACTTTACATCCCTCGCCGAAGCAGCCACCTAAAGCAGGGTGGTTGTAGTCGATCCCGGTGTCGACAACAGCGATCTTGAATCCGTTACCGGAGAAGCCATCAGCGTGGAGTTTGTCGACACCAGTCATGACGTGGGTGCTTAATGTATCCGGAATTTTATCCAATGAACCTTGAGCAGTAGCAGAAGAGAGGGGAGGAAATTGACCTGAAGCATATCCAGAAGACTTCGGAAGGGGATATGAGCGCACAGCCTGAACACTCTTCACAGACGGCAGTGACCGTATCTTTTCCACGTTAGCCCTTTCATTCCCAGCATCGTGCAAGTTGAAAGATGCGCCTTTGAACAGAGAGTAGTCCAGTGTAATGAGCGGTGTTGCCGCGATGGCATTTTCGGAAAGGGTAGAAAAGAATGTATGGGAAGACTAGGAAGGGTTTTTTATTAGCCACCTCATGGATAAAAAATCTAAAACCTGGCTTAGGCTTTAGTTGAAATATGAGATCTTACAGAGTTTTCTTCTTCAAATTCGACGATGTATCTTCCAGGAATGAAAGAAGAAGGGCGGTCGTATGCACCAGCTGCTATGCATGAAGGAAAGAAGCACGCGGCCAGGGCCAATAGCTGACCTCCGCTAGTTGTAGAAATCCTCATTTTGTAAATGCCGGTTGGTATAAATGAAAACTGTAGGCAACGATTGTATATATCTATGTGCCGGAAAGGATTGGCTACCAACAGCTTCCGCGCTGTGGTTAATTGGAACGTTACAAGTCAAAGAAAGACTCAAAGCGCTTTTTAAGGAGTGTATATAATCCAAACAAATATCAAAAGAAGGGAAATTCAGACAAGCTCCACGTCGTTGAACGCTATCAACATGGATGACGGGAGGTGAGATCGACGGTATTTATATGGCTTCATCCGATAACAACACAAGCACAACCAATCTAACAGGCTATTCCCTCCATACAGTTAGATTCTAGAACTCAAAAGACTATTTTCTGACGTTGCCAAGCAGTTGGGACACTGGTACGTAGTTACTACTATTGCATTTTGAAGCATATTGTGTTGCATCCAATTCTCCGGAAGTGCTGACACCGAACTAAACCAAAACCGCTGGGGATCAGAGCGATGTCACGTACCTTAACTACCTAGCTTAGCTACCTTGCCAAATTTACTCAGGCGCATTGAATCATGCTCTTGGCACATTGCTTTTGTTGTCATATACAAAGTACCTGATGTTCTGAGGCTATTCGTTAGTTTAGACATGTCACTTTGCTTAGATGAAAAATCCAACAATTTCTGGAAGGAATATTTCTAGGCCCAGCCCGCCAGCCAGCAGCACCTTTATCAAACGATTAATAAGTATCTTGCTAATCATGCGTAAACCCAACACTTCCGCCTCGTGAAAGAGGAAGAGAAGAGAAAATGTATAGAGGTAGATGGTAGCATCGTGGGGGCCAGCACAAGTTGAAACAGCCGCAGGTTCCGGGAGCGTTGGTTGCCCTTGGTCGTATAGTCAATCGATTTTATGGCTCCTAAAACGCCATCCAACAAGCCTACTGGGAAATGGTTCAGCTAACCGCCACTAGCTGGTCAGATCATTGTTGGATTGTCAAGCCCTAAAATCCGCCTCTGATGTAACATCACGATGGGTTAGAAAGAAAATATGACGAGTTTTGGAAGCCACAGAAGAGATCATTCAATGCCTATTTAGCATGCATAAAAATTATACTTCACAACAGCCAATCGGTCTCTGGATGAGAGCTTGACCGGATATGGACTTGGCTAGCAGCCACAGCCTTTATCCATCAGCAGCCTGTGTTCTTTTCGTAAAGGCGACATTATGTCGATGCTTTGAATTTACAGCGATGTCACGAATCCGAGTCGCTGATCGAGAACTAGTATCAAAGGGACGTTGAAAACGCGTCTGGTTTTGTGAACTGAACATCTGGAACATATCAGTTGATGAAGGCTCGTACACGCACGCGCCGTTCGAACAGCCAAACCACGTCATCAATCCTTGAATTCTTAACATATGCTCAGCTTGATACAGCATTTTACAACATTTTCATATCGACTGCATCAATTTCTATCAATTGCTTCCCCAATAACATTCAGTGTAGGTTATTTTTGTCATGACTGGAGGAGATCTATATATCGTACATGGGAAACGTGGGGCACATTCACGGCTCTTTAGTCTAGTGGTTAGGACGTCAGATTTTGATTCTGAAATCCCCGGTTCGAACCCGGGAAGGGCCTATATTACCAGTTTTTGCCCTTTTTTTGCGATTATTATGTTTTTTTTCTCCCTCACCTTTTGCGTTCTTGCTTCATTTCGAATGAGAACAGTTGACGGCTCTTAGCTGTAACGATTATGTTGACATATGGTGATGATAAGCGATAAGATAAGATAAATACCATGCTAGCCGTTTTTGTGTATTTTTGTGCACGGGCCTCCGTCCGGCGTCGCTGCTTCGCTTGCTTTCTTCGCTGTGTTGTGTTCACTCCTTCTCGCAACATGCTGCTTGCGAGGCTCTTCCCATACGTCTAATAACAGCCCACGATGCCAGATACGTCTTCGATATTTCTTCACGCGGAGCTCCTGCCAAACATTCGACAGCTCACTGTTCACGTATCTCTCCCGATTCCGTCCTCGAGTATTGATCTCAGAGCATCGACTATTACCCTCTCCGAGTCTCGGCGTGCGGTTACTGTGTATACTGTCCACGGAACCGGTGATGAAAAACAAGATTTGTTAGAGACTCTCAAATTACCAGCTCGGGTCACGGAAGCATCGCGCCGAAATCTCACGTTTGCTGGACACCAAGTGGAATCTGGGGGCGATCGCGAAAGCACTAACAGCACAGAATACTCGTTCAGACTACAGGTTGACGATTATGATACTTCTTTGATTACGGTAAAAAACAACGGCTTGCACGAAGATGATTTTGTGCCTTGGACTGCAAAGGACATGTCGCCACACTCTATGCTGCATTGCCGATCTTGTAGCCAGGAAATCCTAGGTCGCCTACAACGGCAAGCGAGCTCTTGGGTATGGAAAGACCTTCCTAGCGGAAACTGGGCAGAGATGATGGACTTTTGGCATTGTCACAAACCAGACGTGCATGTGGACGAGAAAGACGAGCAAAGGGCGACAGACGACCAGAACGCTTCTGTCAAAGGGTACGGAGCGTCAAACCGCGTTGTTGCTCTCCCAGGGACAGTTCTCGTCGATGTGGCGTCTTTTCTGGTGGCAGAGAGTGACTGCTATAATATCAAGCGGGTGAGTTTTACAAGTCACATATCAACAGCGAGGCAACTGCAATATATTCATTCTTTGTCTGTCTTTGTCTTTTTTTTTGTTTGTTCAGTTCTCGTCCCCCTTTACCACAGTAGGCTTCGTCATCTGAATCGAGCATCCGGGCATAAAAGAAGGAGGCTTCTTCGCTCCCCTACGATGGAGTCTTCGATACAAATGCCCAACATCGAATACCTTCAGCTGCAGCCTGTTTTAACTCCAGCCCCGTCAGGGAGGAAGTTGTCGATCTTGCTGATGAATCCGTGCGAATAAAAGTGGCCACAAGAAATCCTTTTGATGCAGGATGACGTGATATCCTCTTTCACGAAAAATGGATGATGGATTTCAGTCTCCTGGTCAGGGGTTTCGCAGCGCCAGTATTTCGCATGGATTGTTATCAAGTTTCATAGCTGACCTAGGGGTTTGAGGAAGAGGATTGTGGCGCATCCTGTTGTTTGCTTTTCACTGGAATATCTCGAGGAATGGAATTTTCCGGCGATTATCACAGGGTACAATACAATATGTCTTGTAATGCCGATAGATACCCAATGCAAATGAGATTTCTGCAATATGCGTTCTTCATTTATCTTCATCGCTAATAAAGTCTCTGAGTGTAGTCCCAAGCATCTAGCCTAACCACTTCGGGCTTTTCGTCTAATACGGCAAGGGCAAATATAGACTGTAAGCGATGCGGTACCATCGTAGGCATGGAAGACCCTGCAGCAGATGGGTTGAGACTATACAAGAGCAACATATCAGTACGGCATTCGGAAACAACACCGTACGAGTCTTATCCCACGGAGATTATCACAAGCGCCCAACTCTTAGAGCTCATCAACCGTGAAGGTGTAAGACGGTTCGTCATCCATGCAGGTCAGCAGGACGGTATTTTGGTATGAACTTGCCCTCAACGATCGATTGGTTGGTTTCTGACCAGTACAGGTATGGACATTCAACCCAGATCTCCGATACTCGAGCGCTAGCGCGGACCATAGCATCGTCACCAGACGCGCCATGAAGGTGCTTTATCAAGAGCTGGCGAATGTCGAGAAGATTCTCGAGCCCGAAAAGGGCACAGCGGTGCCCCTGTCGCTCGAGGAACTCTTTCTACCTGCCAGCATATATGGGGAGCTGATCGAGGCGCTGAAGTCGAGCACTGAGGTTCTTCCGGCGTCTGCAAGGATCTTTCGAGAATGGAATGTCGCATTTTTGAGCCGGTACGACCAGAACAGAGCGACGAGTGAGAGATCGTGATCGGCCGCGCGTGCTCCTTCCACAGGCATGTCGCGCAACCTTGGTCCTTTCAAGCTTTGCTTCTCATGACTTGGCGAAGCTTGAATCGCCCCCTTGTCCCACTTGCTGTGACCCTTTTAAGAACGCCCGAATTGCTTTTTTTAGCGTTTTTTTTTTTTTTTTTTTTTTTTTCAACTCTTGTGATCAATATCAAGCCCCTCCCCCCCTTGTGACATGCTCGGCGTTCTGTCTTCGCCTTCTTATCCGCGCTGCCCCTTCTCAAGATCAACAACAATGTCGATACAACGCAGGACACAGAAATCGATAATGATGCCAGAAAACGACGAGACTATTATTACATGGGAGCAATGGGAACATTCTCCTTTAGCGGCCTGCGGTTATTCCAAGCTTTTAGAAGGATCCAAAGACGAAGAGCTGCCGGATTACCCATGCTCATACCATATGGAGGAAATCAACTATGATTCACCAAACAACACTGTCCCAATTATCAGCGATTCGGTTGGCCCAATAATGTCTACCGTCCCAGAGCTGTCGGTTTCAGAATCATCCTCACCGTCCGACGACCCCTCATCCTACGATCCCTGGAGGGATGCTGATGATATACCCACGCGGCCACCCAGCGCATTGTTGTTGCAAGACTGTCCACCTCTCGCCAGGTGCCGCGAGGACCCGGCAATGGGTCACCCTGAGGACGTCATAATACTGGATTTGGATGACGACTCTGTGGCCTATCATTGGCAGTTGTGCAGCTCAAGCGGTGGTGAGGGTACCACGACACAAGACTGGAGCAGGTCAAGCTCATTTTCATTCCGGGAGGCGCATGAATACAAGGATGATGATCATGAAAAGTGGCCGATTGCTATTTCCAGCCCCGTTATCGAGCCTGCATACCCAGCGGAATCGGCCCTAGTTAATTGGACAACGCTATCGGAAACACCCATGTCTCGCATCTGACCTGAACTACTCCTGCACTGTTCGATTTTAGCTAAAAGGGTATTGATTATATTCGCCGAATACTACTATCTGGTTGTTTTTATTTCATTTTATTAACCGGCCACTTCAAAGACGCGCGGGTAACATTTTTGTAGCAATGCGTTTCTTTCAGAGTTCCAGAGTGATACAGGTCGACACATATATTCATTTCGTTAGCCTTCAAAGGGTGTTTCGTATGGGCGCTCGGCTTGAGGTGTGATACGAGCTAGATGGCGTCGTTGGCCATTGGTCCAGTCATACTGCGCCGAATGAGCAGTTACACGGTTCTGCGCGAATTAGTCAACCTGTCCAACATGAAAAAATCCCAGGCAGATTCAGATGGGTAACTTACGTCCCAAACAACAACTGTTCCAGGTGCCCATTTCACACGCGTCTGTATATCCTGCGACAGAGCGATGTGGTCAAAGAGAAACTTGAGCAAGAAGTCTGATTCTTCCTTCTTATATCCGACAATGTAGCGAGTAACTTTTCATTCGGACCACGTTAGTTTCCTACTGTGAAATATATATATCTATATATATATATATAAAGGGTACGTGAAATGGGAACTATGGGATCAATGATAACTCACATTGCGGGTTAACATAGAGAGCTTTCTCGCCAGTGACTGGATGCGTACGCACGATTGGATGCTCATGCATTACGGGATCCCTCCTTACAAAACTGCCCCTCACCTGTGCACTATGGGCCTGTTCAAAACCGGAGTGGACAGCTTTGAGACCGTGCAAGCGCTTCCGGAACTCGGGCGAAAGGCGCTCGTAGGCCTTGGCCATATTCGCGAACAGAGTGTCACCGCCGCTCGTGGGCCCATCGAGCAGATACAAGAATGTGGTACCCGGTGGCTGAGCCTCGAAAGTGACATCTGAATGCCACGTGATAGAGTTGGTGTGTTGTTCCAAGAACTGCAAACCGGCCGTATCGTCTGCGCCTCGGTGGACGAGGTGGACTTCTGGGAACCCTTTGGGTGCACCAGAAGTTACGTGAATGTGGTGGCGACCAAAGTAACCGCCGATTTCCAACGCTTTCTCAATGGGGATCGAAGCAAAGTCTTGGTCACGGAAAGCTGCATTGACACCGTCTATGTTTAGCTACATTATTTTGGGCAAAATTGGTTGCGTAACCTACCGACGACCTTGCGCTGGGCAACGAAGAGAGCCAGCTGGTCTTTGCCAGCGTCTGTAAGCTGACTCAGTTGTACGCCGTGAACTTCGGAGCCAATAAATGGTGTCACCTCGGTGACCTGCGCTTGACCCTTTGGGAGGAGATCTTTAAATGATGGGTCTGCATCTTTGCCGTGGTCGTAATGCTCGAATGGGGTCCATGGGGGGTATCTATGCGGTGTAATGTTATTATTTACAAGTTTCCATAACATGAAGCCCGTTCAAAGACAAGAAAAGGAAAGGAATATGATATACTTGACGCCCTTCTCGTTGTCCCAAACGGGGAGGTAGTTTGGGTATGTGGCCGGAGGCTGAGATGCAGTACCTTTGGTCTCGGCCTCGTTGTCATAGGCAGTGCTGACACTGATAAATGCCTCTTTATTGAAGCCCTCGATGAGCTTGGGTTTCTCGGGAGTTTCCCGGATAGGGAGCGGGTCAACCAAAGCCGGCGCCATGATCTGTGCTATGTCTGTTATATTCCCTGGTGTAATTATATATTATGTTGAGTGCAGTGCTCCGATGCCCTGTACTTTTCTAGTCGAAGATTTTGGAAA